GTTTCTTTTTCTAAATTGGGGGAGTGTTATTTGAGGGCCAAGCAAGGGCTTCAGCCATCCTGGCTTTTTTAAGGGCTGGAGCAAAGGGGCAAGGCCAAAAGCTGGAATTGGCATTTGAATTGCTGGTAAATATGCCTGGTCCACGCAAGGCAAGGGAGAAGAAGCCCGGTTCACAGCATGCAACAAAACTGAGTTTGGATTTAATGGGATGAAAATCAAGACCCAGCCAAAGCAAGGCACTTTTAAGTCTCACTGGATATTGAATGGAGTTATTGCTCTTTCTCTCTTCCCCCCATTACTTCTCATGTTTACTCATTCTGTCCCTGAACTGGTGTTTCCCTCCAGTCCTCTCTTTCGGCTCACAGATTTCAACAGCTTCTCTTCAGTCTTAGCTCGGAATGCTTGGGGTTGCTTGCCTCTTTAAAAAAAAACATAATTAATAAAGAATCTAAAGGTCACTGCAAGGAAGTGGCAACTCCACCAGAAAACAATGTGTACTCTCTAAATTTGAACCAAGCCATTTCCGTTCTTTGATTTAAGTTTAGTTGCTTCCTGTGGTTTCATGTCCTCCCCTACAGTTGAATCTCTGGATGGGCTCCAGTATAAATTGCACTCTTCCAATGAAATTAGAGACTAGCAATAGAGGGATTGGCTAGTAAACAGCATTTAAACCAAATATTATGCGGCTTGGTGTTTGGATGAAAAATAGTCTGAATATTTTAAAGGATTTTGTGTCCTCTGCTCTGATTTGTAGCTCAGTCATTACACTCCCTTTTTGCAGAACAGTCAGAGGACTAAGGTTGAGCCTAAGAAATATGCTTTTAAGGAATTTCTCTTTGACTTATTTTTACTGGGAAGAGAAAATGTTTTGCCTATGTTTGCACTTAAACATTAAATTATGGTTTCCCTCCAAACTCAGCAACCTGTGGCCTTCCAGAGGTTCTTGGGCAACAACTCCCATCTTCCTCCTTCACCATTAGCTGGGCCAGTTGGGGCTGATGGAAGTTGGAGTATAACCACAGTCTCTCCTATCCTGGTTCAGCATTGCAAGAACAAGTTGCAGCAAATGTTAGGGCCATGCACTCCTTTTCCTCTGATGCAAGCCCAGAGAAGAGATGGGAATTTTCCATTTTAGATTAACCACATTTGAATGTACTTTCCAAACTATAAACTCTGGTTACTCAGGGATGGGGTGTTGAAACAAGCCAATTTCATAAGCAGTGGCTTCAAAAATACATAGTTAATGTTACTGACAGTTTAGGTTACATAGGTATTGCTAATCTGTGAATTATTCTAAAAAGTAAGTTTCCAATCTGCTCTTGGCCATACTGGAGCAAAGAGGGGAGGAGAGGTTCAAGAGCTCAAAGCTTGGTGTGGCTGAACCTCTACCATGGCCTCATTACTACACTATAACATAATCATGATATATTCCTGATCTGTGTGCTGAGAATTCTGGAATTCTTGGGGAACACACTAAGGATTCTTTAATTTTGGAAGTTATTGAAGATCTGAAGTTACATGCAAACATAGTCACCGTGTACTATGCAACAGTAGGCTGACAAAGTTTTTTTATTATTTTTTTTTTTATTGAGAAGAAGAAAAAACACATAGAAAGTGCTTTTACAAAAAAGTGAAAGAAATCCAGCAAAGAAAAAAACACGTTAATATGTCATTATAACAGTAAACGGTTACAATTCCATATATACTTATCTAAGGCAAATATTATTCAAGCATGTGTGTATTTCCAATACATTTATATAACTATCATTTTTTTAACCTACTGTATTTTGCATAAATGAGTCCCATATTTCATTATACTTGTCCATATAAAATCTACAACTATAGGCAATCCACTTGTAAGTAGCAACTGCAATCAGGTCGTCGATCCATTGAATAAATGGGGGATACAAAATTGAGGGAAAGGGTGGGAGGGGGAAGGGACCATTATCCTGCTGCTCCAAAGACCAGTGCCATTCTAATTCCAAGGAATGAATGAGGCATTCTGGAATAAAAGCTGATTTAGAAAATGGCTACTCTTCTAGCTATTGATTGATTGATTGATTGAATGAATTATTTCTAGCCCATCCTAGAGCAGTAGAATCTGAGGCTGGCACAAACTTCTTAAAAAATCAAAGTGATCATTATCTACAATCCATTCAGTCTTCACCAAAATGGAGAGCAACGATGCAAGCATTACAAAGTTGCAGGCCACGAAATCCAAAGGTTTGGGGACAAAGCTAGAGATGACTTAATGTTGAAATCAACACTGATGCCAAATGGGCTTGTCCAGTGAGCTCATTTCAAGACCAGAACCCCAGTCCAGAGATGGCCCTCCTGTATGTTTTGGCATAATGAACAACAACTGATAGTAGGATGCAGAGAAAGGTTTTCCTGGCAGATCTTAATACTCTGGCTATTGCTAAAAAGAGGCACTGTTATTTTGGGATGTATTAAGAGGAGCATGGAGTCCAGATCAGGGGGAGTAATTGCCCCACTCTTCTCAGCAGGAGTCTTGCCCTACTTGGAATCCAGGGTCCAGTACAGGGCACCGCCGTCTAAAAATGAGGTTGGTGAATTGAAGTTGGTTGTGGGGGGCGCTAACAAGATTTCAATGGTTGTCATATGGTGAAGGGAGTGGACTTATTCTCTGTTTCCTCAAAGGGCAGGATTAGAACTCATGAGTTAAAACGTCAGAGAAATAGATTCAGGTTAGATATTAAGAGGAACTTCCTGACAGTAAGAATTCTTAACCAGTGGAATAGGTGGCCTCATGAAGCAGCATGTTCCCCTTCACCAAAAGTTTTCAAATTGAGACTGTCCAAAATACTTTAGCAGATCCTTTAGCAGGAGGTTAAACTAGATGACATCTGAGGTTATCCCAGTTCTTTGATTCTATGAGTCATTTAGAATGAATTGACATTTGGAGGTATAAAATCTAGGCTCGAGAGTATCTGTACCTTGATTTGTGTGGAGGACCTTTCCTGAATTGGTGCCCTCAAGATGTGCAGTGATTACAAGCGCCAGTCTTACATGATCACTATGTGGAAATTCTGAGAGCTGTAATCTTAACATATCTGGAGGGCATCAAGTTGACTAGCATACATTCATGGCCAACCTTTTTTTTTTAACCTGTGAATGAGCTAAAGTGATGAATGATGACATTATTCCCCTCTTCCATTCACAAATATTTCTGAATAAGTTGGCAGCACTTGTTTTTTGGCTGGATTTTAGGCAATATTTATGTATGCATTTTAACATTTGCTCTTAATTTATCATCTTCTACTTTTGGATCTTCAGAGACTGGGTATGGATTCAACAAGTGAATCATCATAACTATTCTGCCTGTTCAGAGACTAGAAAACTGAGGCTGACAGATGGCACTGTGGGCAGCAGGCCCAGAATTTCTGTGGCATGAATCAGTGTCATTAACTCAACAGTACAGTTCCATTTCAGATTCTTGTTTCCAATTCTGTGCTCCAGGTTCATAGAACAAACTGGTCCTATTCCACCAATTTTACTGAGCTCTGCAGGAAACTATTGGCAATGTCTGTGTTTGTATACTTCCTTGATTTCAACTATCCTTAAAGAACATGTAGCTTTCCATTTAAGCCTCACACCCACTCTGAGATGAGCCACTGTCTCTCTGCCTTTCCCAAGAACAGGTTCTAATCTGTTCCTAGTTCAACAGTGTCATCCCCAAGGCATCCACAGTTATATGCTACAGTCCACAAAAAGTTTTCCTACTCTTCTAGGTCATGTTTGGAGAGAGTCCTTATAGAAATTGGGCAAATTCCAGAAGATCCCTTTTAATCCCAATGGATATATAAACAACCCAGGTTCCCTAGAGAAGCAACCCCGCTCCAGTCTAGCCTATAATACTGGGATTTCTCAATGGTCTCCCATCCAAATACTAACCAGGTTTAACCATGCTTGGCTTTTACGAGATCAGCCAAGGTCAGTTACATGCTGCCATCTTCTGTCCTGTTCCTATTAATTTGTATACATTTACTTATTTATTCATTCATTAGATTTATATTCTGCCTTTCCTTCAGGAGCCCCACATGGCATACATAGTGCTCCCTCCTCCAGTTTTCCCCACAACAATCCTGTGAGGTTGATTGGGCTGAGAGAATGACTGACCAGTGAGCTGAACCAGTACTCCTAGCCCGGCACCTTAACCACTATGCCACACTAGTATTTAGGATCCGTACAGAAATTTAAAAATTATTTGTTTGTTCATTTGATTAACTAATGAATTAATTAATATACTACCAACTCCCAACAATTCTGGGCATCCAGAAATTTAAAAAAACAACAACATTAAAAACAAGGGGGAAAAACCCTTGCAGAGATCATGAGGAAAGTATCCCCATGGCCAACAAAAGATTGGGATCCCTCCATGCTGAAGCCTCATTGGCTTGAAGTATCCAACAGAAGGTGGATTTCCAGGTGGACAGCTCCTAGTGCTGCCCGCAGAAGGCATTCATCTTAGCTACTAATTTGTTGGTACTCCATTGTCCCAATTTTTTCACCACCAGAACAGTCCTGTGATATGTTTTGAGAGAGTGAGTGACTGGTTTGAAGTCCTCAAGCACAATTCCCAAGACTGAGGGAGGAAGTCAACTTGGGTCTCTCCAGTTTTAACCTCTGCACTACACTGGCTCTTTTATACCATACTAGTCATTCCATCTTTTTCTCCTGAACAGCAATAGATATGATTTTTCCCCCTTTTTTCCCCTTCCCCCAACATTTAAAAAAATTTCCCATGGAGGTGGGGTTGCAGTTCAAGTTCTTTGGGATGCCACCATAGTGTGTGTGCAAGCCCTTCCAACTCCACTTGCACACCCACACTGTCACTTCTCACTTATGGGACTGGCAACACCACAAAGAGTTGCCCTGCAAATGGCCAGGGATGGTCTTGGGACCACCCCTGCCAGAGGAAAGGCTCAGTCCTGTGGATAATGTCTCAGTTGCTTCTCTCCTCTTTCTCCTTTTTTCAGGACACTTAAAAGCAGGGTTTCCCAGTGCTAGACAACCTGAAAAAAATGGAGCCTCGAATGCCTCACAATATGACTGTGGTCCCCAATTCTATCATGGTACAGCCTCTTCTAGAGAGCCGGATCCCTTACGGCAGGCTGCAACATCCCCTGACCATCCTGCCAATTGACCAAATGAAGACCACACATATGGAGAACGACTACATTGACAATCCCACGCTGGCTCAACTGGTTGCTCAGAAACCCCCCCGGGGCCACCACGAGCCCACCCTTCCACCACGGTGTGAGCAAGATGTCACCCATCCATGGATCTCCTTCAGTGGGCGGCCCAGCTCCATCAGCAGCAGCAGCAGCACATCTTCAGATCAAAGGCTTTTGGACCACATGGTCCCAGCTCCTGTGGCTGACCAGTCCTCCCCAAGAGCAGTTCGGCTTCAGCCCAAGGCAGTTCACTGCAAGCCCCTGGATCTGAAAGGACCCACATCTCTGAAGCTGGACAAGCACTTTTTGCTGTGTGAAGCCTGTGGAAAATGCAAGTGCAAGGAATGTGCCCTGCCTAGGACTTTGCCCTCATGTTGGGTGTGCAATCAGGAATGCCTGTGCTCAGCCCAGAACCTGGTCAATTACTCAACCTGCATGTGCTTGGTGAAGGGCATATTCTACCACTGCACCAATGAGGATGATGAGGGCTCCTGTGCAGACCATCCCTGCTCTTGCTCCCACTCGAACTGCTGTGCCCGTTGGTCTTTCATGAGTGCTCTCTCCCTGGTTTTCCCCTGCTTGCTGTGCTATCTGCCAGCCACTGGTTGTGTGAAGCTATCACAGCGGTGCTATGACCGAGTGAGTCGGCCTGGATGTCGGTGCAAAAACACAAACAGCGTGATTTGTAAAGCATCCCCTGATGGGAAAATTGACAGCAGACCAGAGAAACCTTTTTGACTGCTGGAGAGATGAGAGTTGGGAAGTGCAGGGTGAAAAAAGAAAACAGGAAAGGTGTTTTGTCACCCGTATCAAAGTATAACATATGTCAGCCTTTTGCAGGGAAGGAAGGAAGGAAGGAAGGAAGGAAGGAAGGAAGGAAGGAAGGAAGGAAGGA